CCAATATAGTACTCTGTGCAAAATTTTGTCTCAATGGGACCAATATTGGAAGTTTGGTGCACCATTTACCTAAAATCGGACGAAACTATATATGGGAGATATATCTAAATCTGAACCGATTTTCTCCAATTTCAATAGGGTTCGTCCTTGGGCCAAATAAGTGAACTGTGCCAAATTTCATCCAAATCGGATCATAAATGCGACCTGTACTTTGGTGAAGAGTATAAAAATCCACGCCTATAATGGCCTCTAAAAAATGTTTTTAACAAATCCACGCCTATAATGGCCTTGGCATGTATCAATCTCGACCCAATATAGTACTCTGTGCAAAATTTTGTCTCAATCGGACCAATATTGGGAGTTTGGTGTACCATTTACATAAAATCGGACTAAAGTATATATGGAGCTATAAAATCTACGCCTTTTATGGGTCTCTAAAAATATTCTTTAAAAATCCTCGCCTTTTATGGGCCTCTTTAGTAAAAACTATCAGATTTTTCTGAAAATTTTTCCAGAGGTAGGTATTTTTACCCTAATTATGGGGATATCATTTTTTCTTGGGAGCCATACCCGGTTACCCGGTTATTTGACCCCAAAAGCTCGGGTACGAGTACCCGGTTATATTGGTATCATTTTAAAGGTTATTAAAATACATTTCCATTGAGGGGTTATCTGAAACCGTTTTGGAGATACAGTCAAAAAATAGGGTTTTGGTCCCCGATTTTTTTTTGAAAAACTCCTTAAAAGTCAAACTTGGGTCCGTTATAGTCCCTCTCATATGATAGATCACAATTTGCCCATTCCAACGTATCTGTTGTGGATCCTTAGAACCCTACAAAAACAAGGAAAATCTTTTTACATGACCGAATCTCCTTTTAAATAGCGTGTTTTTTATTTTTTTTAATCACCTATGGACAGATACATACACCGGCTACGCGACGGAAACTCCTTTTAAATGGAATATTTGTTTGTGTAGCCGGCCTTCGGCCTGGGATTTAAGACTTTCTCCTATGGACAGATACCAACATCGGCTAATCGACAGAATCTCTTGTTAAATATAATAGTTTTTTTGCGTGACCTGTCTTCGGCCGGGGATTTAAGATTTTATCCTATGTACAGATACCAACATCGGCTACGCGACAGAATTTCTTAGTTTTTGTAGGGTTCTAAGGCCCATATCTTTTGGTCCAAAACAGATACAGCCACATATCGCACCATTTTGGAAATTGTGGTCTATCAATTTCGACTTTTAGGGGGACCAAAACCCATGTTAAGCCAAATATTTAAAATAATCCACTCCTTCTATGAGTCCCTAAAAATATTCTTTAAAAAATCGAAGCCTTGTTAGGAGCCCAAAAAAATATTCTTTAAAAAATCGACGCCTTGTTAGGACCCCAAAAAAATATTTTTTAAAAAATCGACGCCTTATTAGGACCCCAAAAAATATTTTTTAAAAAATCGACGCCTTGTTAGGACCCAAAAAAAAATATTTTTTAAAAAATCGACGCCTTATTAGGACCCCAAAAAATATTTTTTAAAAAATCGACGCCTTGTTAGGACCACAAAAAAAATATTTTTTAAAAAATCGACGCCTTGTTAGGACCCCAAAAAAATATTCTTTAAAAAAATCGACGCCTTGTTAGGACCCCAACAAATATTCTTTAAAAAATCCACACCTTGTTAGGACCCCAAAAAATATTCTTAAAAAAATCGACGCCTTGTTGGGATCCCAAAAAATATTTTTTAAAAAAATCGACGCCTTGTTAGGACCCCAAAAAATATTCTTTAAAAAATCCACACCTTGTTAGGACCCAAAAAAATATTCTTTAAATAATCCACGCCTTGTTAAGCCCTCGAAAAATATTCTTTAAAAAATCCAGGCCTTGTTAAGCCCTCGAAAAATATTCTTTAAAAAATCCAGGACTTGTTAAGCCCTCGCAAAAATATTCTTTAAAAAATCCAGGCCCTGTTAAGCCCCCGAAAAAATATTATTTAAAAAATCCAGGCCCTGTTAAGCCCCCGAAAAAATATTATTTAAAAAATCCATGCCTTGTTAAGACCTCGAAAAAATATTATTTAAAAAATCCACGCCTTGTTAAGCCCTCGAAAAAATATTCTTTAAAAAATCCACGCCTTGTATGGATCCTTGAAAAAATATTCTTTAAAAAATCCACGCCTTGTTAAGACCTCAAAAATATTCTTTAAAAAATCCACGCCTTGTTAAGACCTCAAAAATATTCTTTAAAAAATCCACGCCTTGTTAAGACCTCAAAAATATTCTTTAAAAAATCCACGCCTTGTTAAGACCTCAAAAATATTCTTTAAAAAAATCCACGCCTTGTTAAGACCTCAAAAAATATTCTTTAAAAAATCCACGCCTTGTTAAGCCCTCGAAAAAATATTCTTTAAAAAATCCACGCCTTGTTAAGCCCTCGAAAAAATATTCTTTAAAAAATCCACGCCTTGTTAAGCCCTCGAAAAAATATTCTTTAAAAAATCCACGCCTTGTTAAGCCCTCGAAAAAATATTCTTTAAAAAATCGACGCCTTGTTAGGACCTCAAAAAATATTTTTTTAAAAAATTTACGCCTTCCAAAAATCCACGCTATTAGGGGATCGAAAAAAATATTCTTTAAAAAATCCACGCCTTCCAAAAATCCACGCTATTAGGGGATCGAAAAAAATATTCTTTAAAAAATCCACGCCCTGTTTAGACTTTAAAAAAATCGCGTCTTGTCCAGACCCTGGAAAATATTATTTTAAGAATCTATGCCATGTTTATACCCCAAGAAAAATATTCTTTAAAATTTCACCTTATTGGAAGCTTCGCCTACTATTTTCATCTGCAATCCCAATCTCATTTGTATTTAGGTCGTCTCACTTTCTAAATATATTCTTTTCATTACTTCTATTATTTTTATGCCAACAAAAAATTCAATTGGATATGGATTTATCTATCAGATAAATCCAGAAAAATCTTCACCATTATCTATTCATAGAAGTATTTTTTTTGCCTGTGACGCATTTTCGAAAAGAATTTCATTAGCAAATGATGATGAGGTGCTAATGATTGGCTTGGACCCAATTGAACCCATTTGTAATAAATGTTCACACATATACGATTATACATAAATACATGCGTATTATACTATGTGTTAACTTTTAAAGCACTTTTGGATTTGATTTTGAACTTGCGATAATCAAACAAACAAAAAATTTTCAGTTATTTTGGCAAAACAAACAGCAACTACTGAACTGAAGTGGAATAGTGAACTAGACCTAATGACAGACTGGCTGACTGACTAACCGTTTCAAATACAACAAGTGATTTTGTTGTACGTGCTTTGGGCAAATGACCACAAATGACCGTTTACAGTGAGTACAGCAATTAAATGAATTCAAAAAAAAAAAAAAATCACGCCTAGGGCTATGCTATGCTTAAAAAAATATTCTTTAAAAAATCCAAGCCTAAGGCTATGCTATGCTTAAAAAAATATTCTTTAAAAAATCCAAGCCTAAGGATATGCTATGCTTAAAAAAATATTGTTTAAAAGATCCACGCCTAAGGCTATGCTTACAAAAATATTGTTTAAAAAATCCACGCCTAAGGCTATGCTTAAAAAAATATTGTTTAAAAAATCCACGCCTAAGGCTATGCTTACAAAAATATTGTTTAAAAAATCCACGCCTAAGGCTATGCTTAAAAAAATATTGTTTAAAAAATCCACGCCTAAGGCTATGCTTAAAAAAATATTGTTTAAAAAATCCACGCCTAAGGCTATGCTTAAAAAAATATTGTTTAAAAAATCCACGCCTAAGGCTATGCTTAAAAAAATATTCTTTAAAAGATCCACGCCTAAGGCTATGCTTAAAAAAATATTGTTTAAAAAATCCACGCCTAAGGCTATGCTTAAAAAAATATTGTTTAAAAAATCCACGCCTAAGGCTATGCTTAAAAAAATATTGTTTAAAGGCTATGCTTAAAAAATATTGTTTAAAAAATCCACGCCTAAGGCTATGCTTAAAAAAATATTGTTTAAAAAATCCACGCCTAAGGCTATGCTTAAAAAAATATTCTTAAAAAAAATCTACGCCTAAGGCTATGCTTAAAAAATATTCTTTAAAAAATCCACGCCTAAGGCTATGCTTAAAAAATCTACGCCTAAGGCTATGCTTAAAAAATATTCTTTAAAAAATCCACGCCTAAGGCTATGCTTAAAAAATCCACGCCTAAGGCTATGCTTAAAGAATCCACGCCTAAGGCTATGCTTGAAAAAATATTCTTCTAAAAATCCACGACTAAGGCTATGCTTGAAAAAAATATTCTTTAAAAAATCCATGCCTAAGGCTATGCTTGGAAAAATATTTGTTAAAAAATCCACACCTTGGAGCCACTGTCCATTAGAAAACAATTATAATCTACTGCGGTCACAAAACAGACATACACAGACACACCGTTTAAGCTTGATCAATTAGTAAGCTCACGTTTTTTTTTCGAGCTACATACATACCTCTACCCTGCATAGCAGCTATCCAGATTTCAATGTTGAGGTCAAGTGAAACTATTTGAGGCATTTATGTCGGAGACAAATTTACATTAATTATTTCGTTTTAATAGCAACAGCAGCAGGCAGCAGTTATTTTCTTATGTTTTAATTTAGAATTAACTTGTTTCGAATTGAATGAGTTGTTGTATTTTTATTGTTATTGTTGTTGTTTTTGCTACTTGAACTTTGTTGTATTTTTGTAATAATTATTATAAACTTGAGATGAATTGCCATTTATATTTCCTCTTTTTGTTTCTGTTTCTTTCAGTTTCGAAATTTATCTGTGATATGCACTGATATTACAACGCAATCTCTCGAGTGACAACGTGGTCGACGGTCGGCGTTTTGAAATCATAATCCGACCGCGTGCGGTAGCAAATAGTTGAGATATTAAAATTATTGCTTATAACTGTGATTCAGATTAACGAAAGAACAAAAGAAACGACTTCGAGATGGAACTGGAAATGGAAACGAGTAAAATGCTGAAAAACAGTGCAGTGCGCAGTATACCCATCGAATTTACAGATCTCACCTATCAAGTTAAAGTGCCAAAGCAAAAAGGTAAATATACAGACCACAAATTTTCATAATATAAATTATTTTGTAGGCCCAGCAGAGCCCTAAATGTTTTCAATGGACCAGTAATGAGTTAGATGTGGTTTAAAAAATAATGGACCAGCAGAGCTTTAGGGGTAGATTGTGAAGATAGAAGAACTAAGACCAACCAGCATTATATTTTTGAAAACAAATATTTTTAAATCAGGCATAGCTGAACCTTTGGCATGTATGCTTTAAAGAATATTTTTTGATCAATAGCAGAGCCTTAGGCCTGGAATTTTTAAAGATTGTTTTATGGACCAGCAGAGCCTTAGACGTGGATTTTTTCAATCAACAGTAGAGCCTTATGCTTGGATTTTTTTAAAAACTTTTTCAAGGCATTGCAGAGCCTTAGGCCATGTTTCTTAGAGAATATTTTTTCAAGGCCATTGGCTAGGCCTTTTTGCCATTGGACCACACGTTTAACAGATGTATTTTTAAGGGGAGAGTAGGTTTCTGGAGAGTATGAGACAGATGTGATGGTGGATATTTTTCCCAATTTGCATAGCTTCTGGATGTCACAGATATAGGTCGAATGTCTAGCTATCGTCTATAAAAAAAAACCTTTTATAGGTTTTCTATGACCTGCACAGGTCATCTTACCGTATATGATCTCTATAGGGCTGTCCATATATAATAAACCTATAATGGATTTCAAAACAACTATAGAATGTCTAGACGGTTATTTATAGATATAAGACCCTTATGTGAATTCCTGGCTATAGACACTCTCTAGAGATCTCTTGAACTATAACAAATATTCTTGAGGTCTACAAAATAAAATTACTTCTATTGACTTTATAAAAGTTACCTAAATCTATATAATATAATATTTTAGTAGTATCTCTAGGCGGTATTTAAAAAAGCTTATTTTCCAATTAGAAACATTCGAACATTCGAAACATTTAAGAATATTTTTTCCAGTTATAAGAAGATACCTAGCCTCGGTTTATTTATAGAAAATTTTACATTTATTAAACGTTTTTAATAAAATTCTTTCAGTTACAAAAAATTTCTTTCTAAAGTTTAAAGTTATGATCTTTTTAAAGAAAATTTTCCAATTAGATACATATACCATATTATACCATAATATTTATACCCTACACAACTATGTTGTCAGGGTATTATAGCTTTGTGCAGCCCCAAATGTTTGTAACGCCGCGAAATATTGGTCCTAGACCCACCTTTAAGTATACCGATCGTCATATCTCGACCAGCTGAGTCGATCTAGACATGTGTGTCCGTCCGTCCGTCTGTCCATTATAATTTGTAAACACGATACAGGCCACAGTTATGGACCAATCTTCACGAAATTTTGCATGTAGGATGGGTTCTGGTCAATGAAGACCCCTATTGTTTTTGGAAAAGATCGGTTAATATTTAGGGGATGAAATGGACCAAATACTAAATTTTTGTCGGTTTTTCTGGTCGCTCCAGAGGCCGCAATTATGGCCCAAGCACCGCGAATTTTTGCACGGAGAAGGGGACCGGGCCAGAGAATAAGCATGCATGTTTTGATAAAGATCGGTCAATATTTAGCGGGTCAAATTAACCCTGACTTTTTTGTGAAAAATGACAAAATTTGTATTCTATGGCATATATATTTACTCCTGGAGGATGTAGACCCCAGGAGTTAATAGCATATCCAAGAGGAGTGGTTGGCCTTTAAATTGATACCAAATATAGTGATGTATCTACTCAGATGTGGGAGTTACAGTCAAATATTTACAGGTGCTTACGTATTCAGATATTATTTAGTAATCCATTACCACATTAGAGGGAGAAATATCGCGCTGATGGCTTTTTTTCATGAAGTTCCAGTTATAGTCAAGAACAACGCCTACAATTTTCGGTGATGATCAGGATACAATTTTGGGATGAAATGGACGGAAAACATAATTTTTTGTGTGTTTTCGAGTAGAGTATAATCCGAAAATCACAACACAACCCACCGTGAAGGTAATCTGGACAAGTAATTAGAAGGACTGTACTGAATATTCGAAAAAAGTAAGAAAGAGGTGTTGTTGACCTCTAATCGGACAAGAGGGGGCAAATATCACGAAATACTACTCAGACTCGGAATAAACATCCTCAGAAAGTTAGAGTTCGTGGTAGTTGTGTAGGGTATCGTATGGTCGGCCCCGTCCGACTATACTGCTCCGCTCACTGGTTTTTCCATTAGAAAATTATTTTTGTTTAAAACATGTGTGTTCTTTTAAGAATATTTTTTTTTCAATTTTATACTTCCAATCAAAAGCGTAAAAATTTGTTAATATGTTTCTAATTAGATACATAATAATAAAAAAACTTGATATGCATCAATCTAGACCTAATTCCGTACTCTGTGCAAAATGTTGTCTCAATCGGACAAACATCTATAGTATGGTGAACCATTTATATAAAATCAGAGGAAACTATATATGGGAGCTATATCTAAATCTGAACAGATTTCAACAAAACTTCGGGTACATACATTTGGACCTACTTCAGTACGCCGATTCCAACAAAACTTGACATACATCAATCTGGGTCTAATTCAATACTCTGTGCAAAATGTCGTCTCAATCGGACAAATATTGTTAGTATTGTGCTCCATTTACATAAAATCGGATGAAACTATATATGGGAGCTACATCAGTTTAAAGACGTTATTGCCAATCTACCTACATTGCCTGACATTCTAGCTGTTAATGAAACTTGGTTTTCTGATGACTACACCGAGCTATATACTATTCCGCATTTTAGCGCGGTGCACAGTTGCCGTAGTGATGGCTACGGTGGAACGTCATTGTACGTTAATAATTGTTTGAAATACACAATTATTTCTTGTGAGAGTGTTAATTTTGTCAATTTGGCTCACATAAAATTTCATAACCTCAAGTTTGGAGGGAAAGCTCTGCATGTTTTATCTTATTATAGATCCCAAAAGTGTAACATGACGGATTTTTTTGATATAATGGGAGAAAGGTTAGAAGGTACTGATACTTGCTCTTCAATTGTATTGGGGGATTCAAATATCGATTTAAATGGCCCTTATGCTAAAGATATTTTGCAATTGTTTAAAACATTTGATCACCACAGCTGTCACAATTTAATCACTAGGCCTCAAAGTGGCACTAGTATTGACAATATATTTTCCAATATTAATGTAGGTATGGAAATTGAGTCGGTAGAAGTTGATTTGAGTGATCATAACATGGTTTTTTGTAGATTAAAAAATGATGAACTTGACAATAGTTGTTATAATATTAAAAGGAAATACTGTGACTACGGAAAAGTAAAAAGGTTGTTAGTTGAGGGCATTTCAGAACTACACGCGTCATCGGACCCTTCTGTTATGTCAAGTGAGCTAGTAAATCTTATAACGAATGTCGTAAATGAATGCACGTCTATTGTTTCTGAAACTCGGCTTAGGAAACATGATGTTTCGCCTTGGGTAAATAGAAATTTAAGGGGTTTAATGGATGAAAAAGACAAACTTTTAAAATTAAGGAGAAGATATCGTAATGATAAAACAATTACAGAACGTTTGAAACGAATCAGTCGAATAATAAAAATGTCAACCAGAGCATGTATGAATACTTATTATGATGATAATGTCCGAAAATTTAACGGTGATCCTAAGAAGTGTTGGAGATTCCTAAACAAAACTTTGGGTAAAAGTTCTAAAAAGGTTATGTGTGTGACTACTGAGGACGGTGATGTCATACATGATGAACAAGTGTTATCTGAAACTTTCAATGAATATTTCGTTAATTCAGTTACCAGTTTGAGAGAAAATATAACAAAATATCCAAATGACAATCCTAATTTGTTGCGAACATTAAGAAGGTTTAGTGGGTGTTTTCATTTTCAAAGGATAACTATAGATGATGTAAAGATGGCTATTTATGATATGAACACAACAAAATGTCCCGGTGATGATAATATATCCATTGGGTTTATAAAAAGATTTTCTGAGATATTGTCCCCATTAATAGCGCGTATCTTTAACTGTATGATCACAGAATCTAAGTATCCCTATATATTAAAACATCACAAAATTATTGCTATTCCAAAGGTACCTAATCCTGAAAGTTTTGATCAATTTAGACCAATAGCAATTCTATCGTCACTGGATAAAATAATTGAGAGAATTATGCATAAACAATTAATGGGCTATTTAGAAGGGGAGTCTTTAATATATCGTTCCCAGTTTGCTTACGTAAAAGGGGGTGGCACGGACATGGCTATTGTTAAGGTGATTAATATAATATGTGATGGACTTGATCACGGATATGCTGGAGTTGCAGGATTATTCTATGACTTCAGTAAGGCGTTTGATCTGGTCGATCATTATGTTTTACTTAATAAGCTAACTTACTTCGGCATCAGAGGTAGAGAGCTTGAACTAATTAGGAGTTACTTCGACAATAGAACACAATTTGTACAGGTGGGAGGTAGCAGGAGTTCCGTACGATCTATTAAAAGCGGAGTTCCTCTGGGTAGTATTTTGGGACCGCTGTTGTTCAAGCTGTACATCAATGATATTAATAATCTTGGGCTTGTGGGGTCAATAGTGATGTTTGCCGATGATATTGCAATTTTTTATCCCTATGCACATGAAAAAGTGCTACGGGTGCAATTGGAGAGAGATTCTTCTCTAGTTGCCGAGTTTGCTAGAATTAATAGGCTGGTTTTAAATAAAAACAAGACCAGACTTTTAAGATTTAGACCAGATTTTCCTCAGATGATATATATATGACTTTGAATTTTTTCTTGAGGGTAGTCTTGTGCAGGAGGCAAATGAAATTAAATACTTAGGTATACAAATGAAGAGCAATTTGAAGTGGAATGACCACATTCATTATATTAAACGGAAAATTGCTAGTGCCATTGGAGTTTTATTTAAACTAAGGAGGAAATTGAATGTGGATACAAGACTTTTGATTTACAAAGCGTTAATTCATTCTCGCCTTGAACAT